ATCAATTTTATTTATTTGTTAATTTATTGTATAACCAACCATCATAAATGTTGTAATAGACATACATAACAATGGGGCAAAGATATCATTCATGCACAAGGAAAATAATAAAGGCTAAGTCATGTTTATTTGTTTTATTTAATTAATATGCAATAAATAATTGCCAGAGCATGACTCCATTAATCTGTAAACCCCATTAAATAAACTTTACCCCATTAAACTGTAGTTTTACTTTAGAATTTTTTCTATTTAAATTACCCCAATAATCCGAATTTTTATTTTAACCAATCAGATACTGATCTCCAAAAATACCTTCGAATTAACAGGTTGCCTATGTTGTTTGTGTCCTTGTTATAAACATTGGAAAAAACATCTAATTTGCATATGGCTTATATTTTCAAAATTGGAATTGCAAATAGTCATTTGGTTTGTCAAAAGATTGTAAAAGTCCAATATAGAAGTTGTTTAAAACAAAAGAAACAACTCTTGCAAGTGAGAAATTCAATGCTGAATATATATATACACAAGAAAATATATTAGAGATGTATTCATATTCATAAGGTCTGGTAGTGAATGACCTTATGAACATACAAATAACAAACAATCTTTAAACTTGTGTGGATAGATATTCAAATATCAAAAAATGAATTGTAAATTTCCAAAAAAAAATTTTTTCAAATAACATTATTAAAGATTGGAAGAATTATCAGGCACAACATTATTATGAATTTATGGATGGTAGCAATGTATTAGCATTTATTGTAAATATTTTATTAACAAATAGTAATGAACTGTATTTTTTTAAGCATTAAAAAAAAAAATATCAAGTTTAAAATTTTTTTACTAACTTATACACTTCCAATTCTTCTATCAAATGAACTCTATTGGTGTGATTTTTAAGATCCAAGTTATTTTCATATACACACTTGTAACAATAAGAACAATATGGTTGATTGTCAACACTATTACATGATGCTAAATCATTAAAACCAACTGATATTTCATGAAACAATATATTATCTCTAACAATATTAACTGTTTGTCTAGGATGAACTATTGCATAGTTAGGTTCCTTTACTCTACTTAATATTGAATTATCTATTTGATTTTTATCAATTTTAAAAATAAAACAATTATTTGTCTGAATAATGTAATGATCATTTGGAGCCATTCCTTCAAGATTCCAAAAAACTGGATTGTAACCACCAACTAACTCTTCTGTATTTTTAATTTTCATTAGAGTCACAGTTTGTCTTGTATTGTAACATTTATCTTCAAAGACAGACCTAGAAAATCCATCTTGAGATCCACTAAGGATCAATTTAAATTTATAAGGTAAATTACTTACATTGTATCTATCAATTCTTTTGTTAACCCAGCTGGAAATTAAACACATCATATCAAAATTTAATAATCTTCTCTTCCCTATTCTTGGAGGTTTGGAGAGTAACAACCTTGGCTGATATACTTTGTCATAATTGTCATAATAATATCTACGGATTTCATTGTATACATTATTATTAAAAACTTTTTCATAAGGTTTGATTTTATTTTTAAAATCAACTCTAGAAATTTCATTGAATCTTATTGATGGAAGGATGTCATCAATTATGCTTTTCAATTTAATAAAATCTTCATTGCTCCACTGTAAAATATCCTTTCCCAACTCTTTATCTTGACCTATTCCCCATTGGATGACATATCTCCAAAGATCAATTTCCTCCAATTCCAAATAATCTTTTTCCAATATAAATATAAATTCTGATTTTTCAATAGTTTCAAAATAATCATGTTTTAGGAATGCTTCTGGACTTTGATGAATTATTTCATTACGAAGTAAATTGAATGATTTATGTTGTAATGCAATATCACAAAGATAAATCAAATTTTGTTGAAACCATTCTCCCCCTTTTTTGATTAAAACATTTTGCAATACATCAAGTAATTCAACAAAATTCAATTCATCACAAGCTACAAGTAATTCAAGAATAACATTTTCATCCAAATTATCTGTATTAATTATTCCACTGTAGATATATCTTTTTTAAAAAAAAATTTTTTTTAATTAATAATTATTCGATCAATCAATCAAGTAAATCAATTAAATAAACCTTACCTTAAAAGAATTTCAAATATATTCGAAGGTACATTTTCTTTTTCAAATATCGTAATACCATTTTCAGACTTTTTCAACCAATTATTAGATAAAGCAGCTTTAAAATACGAGGACCTTACTTTTAAAATACTAGAATGAGCTTTAAAAGTTTTTACATTATCCTGATCTGTTCCAACTCTAATTTCTAAATCATACGAATCAGGTTCTTCGAATAACTTTGCTAAATCATTTGCAAGTTTATCATTAAATTTTAATGGTAAGGTATTGTTGTTGTTGTTGTTGTTGTTGACATTAATAGGGCCGTTTAATGAGTCATTATTATTTATATTATTACTAGACATTTTCAATAAAAAAAAGAAAATTTGTAAAAAAAAAATTCTTACGCTTTCTATATTTATTATAGTTAGAACGTTACATTGAATTACGTATTTATTTTAATCGGGGAACTTTGTGTAATTTGTATTATTCGTTTTAGAAAAGACTTTGATTGTGCCAAAATTAGAAACAAAAAATCCCTTCTATATAGATTGTTAATTCGCAATCCTTTTTCAAACACAATGGTTGGTTTTTAATAATAATATCAATAATCCCCAACAAATTCTAAAATAATGTGTAAAGGGTTAAAGGAAAAAAAGCCTTGACAGTTTAAGGAAAAAAAATTTATACAGTTTATTGTCAATATTTAATTGTTTGTTTTATTAAAATACAAGTGTCTTTGTAGAAATGTAAGGAATGCACATTCACAATGCATATTAATATATGGAAAATTAATAGAAGCGAAATGTCACACGTTAAATCTAATATTTCCGGTCGATATTTCACAGCTTCATGAAATTCAAATTATAATAACAACCAAGCGTTCTTTTGGTCAAAAGTGTTTCCCGGACCTATGGATTTAACGAGCTCTGACTGTATTGTTTAAAGGTTAATTGAAAAAACTGTGGCTTCCTCACAATTGCTGTCTCCACCACACTTGTTGCTTTTATCAAAGTGCGAAAATAAAGACAGTATTTGTTTTTTTAAAGTTTATTAAGGATTAATTATATTTAATAAAAACTAGAATAATCTTGAAATTAATTATGCATGCAATTTTCCACCCACTACTCTCACTACGCTTCATGACTAAATTTCAATTTGTTCGGTTCGGTTAAGCAAATCCGAAAATTAAAATTATAAGAAATACTATAGATGGAAAATGATATGCATATTTAAACATCACACTCTCATTTGCTTTACTTGATTGCAATTCTATTAAGAAAATAAGCAATTGCGAGTATTAATAAAAACATATATAATTAACCAGTCATTTGTGAGGATTTTTGTTTTTCTCAATAATATACATAATAAATGTTGATTCTTTGGCACTATTTTCAAAGTGAAATAAAACGTGATGTTACACAAATTATAAACTTATGGTCGGTCGATCACAGTAATAGTGTACAAAAAAATTTATGAACGCGAGATGAAAAATCAAAACAAGGAAGCTAGTTAGGCAGGCATTTGTTAATAAGCATATTAAGGAAGAAGATAAAACTATTAAATAGCCAGAGACGTTCCTTTTTGTATTGGTACTATTTTTTTATTTTTTATAAAGTAGCCTAAACATTTTATAAACGTGGAGCAAAAGTTCATTATAGTGATGGGTAAATATAAGATTCCGAACAAATGATTCTTTGTGTGATCGTTACTAAGATTAAATAATTATAAAAACAAAAAACAACATGACTGCTGAAGATCACACACACACGCACATGGAGAATCACTCTTGAACAACCTGGAAACACCAAAAATCCGATCGTTGGAAATTTATTTACACATGTAGTAGAAGTACATCTCCAAAGGCTTGAATATTTAAAATATCACAGTTGTTCTCACCTTCCTAGGGCACATTAGGTTAATTTGACTCGATTACCCCCGATGATACGATGATGCAAGTAGGGTTCGCTAAGTATTCAATAGAGTAACTTTTCGTCAGGGGGGCGCCGCCGCTCTGAGTCTACAATTGTATCGTTGTCGAGAAGCTTCTCGCTTGTCCGAAGCCTTCGAACGTGTTCAACTTGCTCACCTGTAGTAAATTCTATAGTTATGGGGCGTGCGCAAGCACAACCACTTGCATGTTTGTATTAGGAAATTTTTATAAGTCTGACACCCATCATAATCAGTGATGGCAAACAACATCGTTAAAACAACTATAGCCATCTCAAACTCCACCATCTCAAACTACAGCCTTCTTGAACTCCGCCATCTCAAATTCCACCATCTCAAAATACACCTTGATGCCATGCCAACCCGCCTATAATAAATCAGGTTTATTTTTATTTTTATTAAGGAATTTTTCAACTTGTAATTGTATGCAATTGGGAAGCATGCATACACACACAAGAAAATTTACCCACCAGAACATTATGTGGCCTTTTTTTAAATCGGTTCCTTAAATTTTCTTATTATTATTGCATGTTCCTAGTATTATCATTACTTTGGTGATACAATTTTCGGTTATATCAATTTGTTAATTTAAATAACGTTGTAATAGACATATAACAGTGGGTCAAAGGTATCATTTACGCATAAGGAAAGGATTGGATAGTAATAAAAAGCTAAGTCATGTTTATTTACTTTATTTAACTAATATATATTTAAAAATATAATGCCAGAGCGATTTCATGAAATCCAAGACTACACCAATTGCACCATTACATTAATAAAGCTATTATTTGAATATATTTGTGATCAGTCTTAATTTAGAGTCACATCTTTCTTCATTTATATAATCTATTGATGTTCGTTTGTAGGTAGTATTTTACAAATTATTTAATCAATCTTGATCTTGTGCAACTGCAACAATAAAAAACTGTTGGGGAAATGACAGGTATTCTCCTGGTGGTCAAAATTTATAAACTAATTCAGTTGTGAATGAAGATGACGAGTTTACAAATCTATTTAATAATCCATTAATTAACTGGTGATAATAATCAACAAGCGTTGGTTCATCGGGTTGAAGTATTGCAATTGTTGAACCACTTGTAATTGAAATACTCTTAATGATACAGAGATTGTTTAATGGTTTTAAAAGATGCGCAAATTGAAGATGGTGTCAATATAGATTCTAATGAGATAATAAAGAAACATCACCACCACCAATGGTTGCCATTAAAGAAGCTTACGAATCTTTAAAGAAAGTGATTAGATTTAAAGAAAAAAAAATGAAATAAATAATCATAATGCTCCTTGATATGATTTAAATAAAGTATTATATCAAAAGTCATTAATTTATTACTTTAATCATTTAATAAACCTCTATATAGTGACATTAACTCAAAAGGAAGGAATGAACAAATAAATAGCTGAAATGAAAAAATTAATGATAGCTGAATGAAAGAATCAATAAAATGGATATATTGGATGAAATTGAGTGAAAAAGGTAACAAATAAATAAGTGGTAATTTTGTTGAATTTAACATCAGTTTTCTACCAACAGTATATTTATTTATTTACTATTACATCATTATATATATATATATATATATATAGCAAAAATTTAAAAATAAAAAAAAAATGATGTTATCGATATCCACAAACAAAAATGATCTAATTTTCCACTAAAGCTCAACCAAAAAAAAATATTTAAAAGTATGAATAATCACGATAATAAGAGTTTAGATGATTGTTATCACTGTTGACAGAAAAGTTGTTATTATCACTGGAATAATTGGTAATTTACTCGTCCCGAGCGAGATCGACCTAATAGCTAACTGATTGATATAATAGATAGGTGGTTGTAACATGCCGATTGACATCAATCGGATAATTAATTGATTAAATATTCTCATTTGATAGTAAACTGATTCCTCATTCTATTTTTTTTATCTAATTAATTGGATATCATTCAGATAGGTTTATATGATTAATTGCTTTTTATAATAACTGCAAATTGATTTATAATAATAACTCAATATAAAATGATTTTAATTTTAAAATAACCAAATTCTACTAATTTCACTTCTTTTTCCTCTCCCAAATAAATCTCCTCCACCTTCGGAACTCTCTTCGGAACTACTTCTTTACCGGATGTTACTAATTAAAGTTTTTTACCAACTTCATTAACTACATTATTTAAAAACCGTTACAGCCTGCTCTTGTCAAATCCCGTGCAATAGTAGGTGCATTAATTCCTTATCATATTGTTTATCCTTTTTCGCATACGAGGAACTCTTGTTTAGTTTGAACAAGATAACCTCAAAGTAGTAACTTAAGCTTTAAAAGAACAAACATTAAAATAATAAGAAACTATAAAGTATCCGATCTCCAACTTAGGTCTTTATTAACAGCTTCCCTCCTTCAATCTTGATCTTCCATCCGATTCCGAAACTTCTGGTGAATGATAAAGATTAGAAACGTATTCATTAGTTGAATTTTTATCAATTATTTATCTTTCTTGTTGAGATTTTAAGTTATACCTGCAATGCAGTCGTTGATTTTAAATAAGTACATTTGTTGTTAAAAATGTTATCATGGTTTTTTTTGTTGGTTTATTTTCATGATACCTGAACTAACATAAGTTTGTAAGGTGTAATTACTTTAATTACTTTCTTAATATCAAAACAAATAAATTACAAGTTGTTTGCATTTCATGCCTTTCCCTTCTTTCTCTTGAACCATGTCGGATTTTAATATGAATCATTTACGATTTTTTTTGTCTCGATTTTTTTGGTCATTTTATTCCAAAGTAAATTGTATTGACACAAAATTAATTTAGAATTATATTACTGATTCTATTACTTGTGAAAAAACATCAAATCAACTAACAATAATTATTGAAGATTTGATTCTAAAATTAAAATTGAAATAACCTTTTTAATTATAATTGTTCATAAATTATGGCTCAAGTTATTCATGTTATAGCTTCGATTGGCATTTATTAATAAACATTGGTATGGTTTTACTGAAGACATGGTTTTTAACTAATAACCAGAGACTTATTTTTTTTATTGATTGATGACTCATTTTTTATACAATAGCCTATATATCTTGTATAAATGTGGAGCTATATGGTATGTGATTCCTTATCATCGTAAATTATTGGTGTACATACTTTCGCATAATCGTTATCAAGCAATCATAAGAAATGTCAGATGTAAGAGAGTAAGAGAGACAATACGACTATCGGAGATTGATTACTCTTTCACTTTCATTCATATACGTGCTTGGACAATTTGAAAACACCAAACAACTCGATATGCAATATTTAATTATTGGATGGAAACTTGCATATGCTGAAGTATATTAGTTCCTGACTACATAAGGCTAATCTGGCTTGATACAACTATGCAATTAAATTCCGGGGAGAGCGTGGGGATTTCGCCCATGGAAAAGTTCCATGGTTATGAAGGACGCATAATTGCGTGTTTGTGAGAGGAATCTGACTCCTGTGATCAATATTTATTATTCCTAACTTTTTTGGAAATGGTTGTGTAAATTGGGAAGTACGTACAGAACACGTGGACACATGGGCAAAAAAAAGAACCAAGGCGGTCATTAAAAGTCTTCGTCCTATTTCGTGGGCTAAAATTCAACAAAAATATCATGGGTTTATTTTCAATTCTGCCTGTCAGGGCCAATTTATTTATTTATTTATTTATTTATTTTGCAAATTTATGACAGATGTATCGCATAATCATCACGAATATTGTAATAGTAAGGAAACAGCAAAAAGATAAGTAATGCTTTATTATTTTGATCCACAAAAATATAGAATAATTCGTAATAATATAAATATTTATAAGATAAAAAACTAGCAAGCGATTCACGGGAGGATCAATAATATAATTATCATTAATATCACTATTTTCTCCTTCGTAATCCTCATATTTATACATTCTTGAATTTCTTTTTTTCCTAGAATTGTTTTGTAGTGCAACTCACCATTCAAGCGACTCACAAATTTAGTTACCGTTCTATTGAATGAAGAATTTGAGTCTTGCTCAGCTTTTCTTATCAAATAAACGTTTAAAATCTTCCACAAATTTTCAGCGCCTTCCAAGTATTTCTGATTGCTGAATTTTCCAGGATCAATTACATTGATTACTTTTGGTTTATATGAATATTGTAAGTTTTACAATAAAGTAAAAATCAAGGAAAAGTTAGTAAGCATTTTTTAATTTTATTATGTGAAATGAAACATGGTAATAATCCTTATGTTCATCGAACACAGGCCAGGATTATAAAAGTTAACCAAATCCAAACCAAAGCTATGAAGCATATATCACGACTATACACAATTATGGTGTTTTCTTATATCATTTCTAATACAAACTCATTTTACAGAACTTTTAATGTATAATAAAGTAAAGAAATTGATGTAATAAGGAAAAATATTTATTTAAATCAATAAAATATTGTGTTTTGTAAAGTTTTGAAGAAAAACGTCCAGGTAAAATTAATTAATACAGTATGGAAGATATTGAATAATTAAATAGATGAGATTGTAATGTCCACAAATAATTTTGTACATTTTGTAATATGTGATACTAACATTAAGATATTTCTATTCATGTCAAGATTTCAGTAGATCTTAACATAATATGGAATTATCATTTGACCCATAAATATTAGGATATGCAAAACAATAAATCTTTTTTATCAATTATTCATCGAGCAAAAAAAAATTTCAGAATCACAATGTCAAGTTCTAACACAAAAAACTTGAACAATGATTCCAGTAATAATGATAGTAAAGCTACTATTGTAATTCCTCCTTTTCTTTCCGAGGCTCAAAATTTAGATGAAGCAACTTTGATGAATAAATTTAAACAAATATTTATTAATGACCGAGAAAGGCGACATAATCCAAAAGATTCAGTCAACAAATTTAGTACAAGTGATGCACTTGAACCAAGCGTTGCAAAATACAACAGATACAGTGATATACTGCCATTCAACTATAACAGAGTGAAGTTAATGCGTAAACGTACAGGTAGAACTGATGATTATATTAATGCAAGTTATATCAAAGCACCATATGATGTTAAAAAGTATATAGTAACACAAGGACCAACTAAGAATACTGTGGAAGATTTTTGGTTGATGGTTTGGGAGCAAAACTCGAGAGTTATTGTGATGTTGACCAAAGAACAAGAAAAAAATACTATCAAATGTGAGAAGTATTGGCCTGAATTGAAGAGTCCGGCCATTTATAAAAATTCAGGGTTGAAGGTTGAGTTGGAAAAAGAGTATTTGGATCCTAGCACTGCTTCTGTTATTAGAACTATTAGAATTGAAAAAATTGATGATTATTTTTATGCTGATAATGATCTTAATAATAATAATATTAATAATCATATTGTTATCAATAATAGTTTTGGGGATGATAATAATAATAATAATAATAATAATAATAATAATAATAATAATAATAATAATAATAATAATAATAATAATAATAATAGTACTATTAATAATAAAAATTTTATTAGACATGTTACCCAATTACATTTCGTTGGATGGCCTGATTATGGAGTACCTGAGTCACCAGAAAATATACTTAATCTAATTCAAAAAACTAATGATTTACAAAAGGAACATATAAATGGAGAAGCGCATCTACTAGTAAATAACAATATCAATGTTGACAATGATGATGTAATTGGGCCAATAGTTATACATTGTAGTGCTGGGTGTGGTAGAACTGGTACTTTTTGTACAATTGATTCAACACTGGCATTATTAAAGCGCAATTATAACGTTGCTGATGATGATGATAATAATAATAATAATAATAATAATACCGATCTTATTCAAGATTTAGTTGAACATTTTAGAAAACAACGTGTTATAATGGTTCAATCATTTGGACAATTTCAATATTGTTATTTGGCAGTTCTAAGCCATCTTGGCTGTAAACGGTAAAAAATATATCAGTTTTTTTTTATGCTTAAATTATATAACTACTAATTTTATTAATAATGCATTTATTATTATTAATAGCATTATTGATAGTAATAGTGAAAGTGCTAGTAGTATTAATAGGTAAATATATAATTAATTCCAAAAAAATTCAAAATTATTTTTCAATATCCTTTAATATTTTAATTATATAGATGCGAACTATTGTAAAATTGAGCAAGTAATCAGTCAATGAGAATATGAAATAACAAGAAATTATTTATTTAAATAAAATTTATTTTTGTATATTTAAATATAAGAATAGAAAATTATATATTATTTGATTATTTATTGACCCCAGCCGTTTATTCTTTTTAGATTTGAGATATAAAATAAATAACTAATAATATTGATTTTCATAACCTCAATTGGAATATTGTTAAAAGTTTGCCTTATTATTAATTTTAAATATTTTGGAAATATTATACCTTGTATTCGTTCAGATAATGTTGCATGAATGTTGAAAGCTTATCAAGTTTTATTCCAAAAGGAAACACAATGCATATATTTCTCGCATATTAAATTTAGCAGGAGAGACATGGATCGAATATGAATACTTCAGTTTATTAGAACAAGTGATATGGATATTAAAACATTATTTGCATATATCCCAGTAAGAAAGAGAAGGCGGATTTCATTTATTTTTCTTTGAAAAGAAACATCATTCTTGTATCTCCTCCTTTACCAGTTAAAACCAAACAGAATTCCTGGTTAAACTTATAATTTAGACAGATAATTATAGATTCATTTTTCCAGAAAAAAAAGAACCAAGTAGTGTGATAGTGATAATAAAGCTATTAGGAATTTACCAACGCTCTATTGTTTTTTTATTGCATGGTTTTCAAATCCCTATATTAGCCTTCAAATATAATCCATTCGCCTTGCGTTAATATTTTTCAAGAAGCATTTACATCAAAATTCAAAAGGGGATACTGACAAGCATAATGCTTTATCTCTCTTTAGAGCAATTCAATGCTTTGATCCTCAGTATATTTACTTACTCATAACAATCATGAAGAAATATTATATTATATAAAAATATTACTAAACTTGCAAATCCAAAATGATACATAATTACATGAATGGGCATTTACTTTTCTAATTTGGGAGTTTCAAAAATGATTTAAATCTAGATTTGTTTCGGAAAGAGTTATTAAGAACTTTATCAAATTTATCAATGCCTGGAAAGATTTATAAAAATATTTTTTTAGACAAACATCATTCATTTTCAAAAGATTTGATGGTCGCTTTAAATTTTTAATAAATCACCAACTTCTTTTATAATGGGGTCTTCGTTACACGTGCATTTTATTACACACGATCAGCATTTGTTTTGGAAAACACGTCAAAACAAAATTTAAATTTGCAATTAAACAGAATGGATGAATTCTTTTCACAGTTAACAAACTTTAGTTCCCAGCTTGAAGATGCCTGTCAAGATCTAAAGTAAATTTAATTAATATTTTTTTCTGATTCATTTTCTAATTGTTTAATTAATAATGCATTCATTCTTTTCTTTAAAAAAATTTGATAAAGAATGTCATTAAAAAGTCCAGCATTACCGATATCCTCTGGTCGTCAAGAAAATTATTTAAGACAAATGCTATCACATACTAAAAAAATGATTAATGAAATAAAAGAAATAGAAAATACACCTGATTTGAGCACTCCTTTGAGTGAAATTGTTTGTGCAGCTATTGCTGTTTATGTAACAGTAAATAATGGTTTTATATATAGTATAAATATAAATATTTCAATAATAGCAATGAATCAATTTGTTAATTTTTAATTATTAGATTCAAGACCGTATTTTTGAGTTAGAAGAAAAATTATATGAATTTGGATTAGAAGGTGGGTGATCTTGATTGATTTTTCCTTATATAAATTACAATATAATAAATCTTGCACATATATTATATTAAATTAAATTAAATATAATTTAGGTTCATTTATACCAACACAATCAATTACCAGTTATGAGAATTTAGTATTAGCAGAAGAAAATCAGAATAATAATAATAATAATAATAATAATAATAATAATAATAATGATAAATCAATCGAGAAAACAGTAGAATTAATAGCAAGTAAAAATACAGGATATATCGAAAGTGAATTAACAAAAGAAAATAATATTTTAGTTACGCCGCGTAAAGCAAATAAAACATTTAAACGCCTTTCAGTTGTCACTCAAGAAAGTCCTACGCTTGAAAGTTTTGGAATATCAGATCACGCTCTAGCAATACTCAAGGCTGGTGATTATTTATTAATATTATTATCAAGTTGTTATATTAATAAATTATTAAATTACCTATTGGTTATTGATTTTTATGTTATTATTATCATCTAGGCACACCCGATGCATTTGCTAATAAAATTAGCCAAAAGTAATTATAATAAAATTTATCAAATAATATAATATTACATACATAAATTTATATAATAATATAATAATATTAAATAATAGCGTGTATAGAGATGTACGACTATCATTAACACCATTTCAACGAGATAAAATACCACAAATCCATCAAATTAGTGACGATATTAATCAATTAAATTCAGACTATTATAATAAATCTACTCAAGTTTTATCATCAAATGAAAGGAAAAGACATATTAATGATAATGATAAATCATTTGAACAAATTGTATGTAGACAAATAAAATTAATAACAAAAGAAGAAATGAAATCACTCGATTTAGCTATTAAAATGCAAATCAATGTGGAGGTAAACTAAAAAATCACTATTTATTTATGCATTGAGGATATGCGCTATATAATATATTTCTTATTAATCACTATTATTACTAGTTCCTAAACCAAGTAATAATTGATATTAATGAAATAATAAGAGGTGAATAATAATAAAACTAGTTAATTATAACAATGATGATTAAATATTAAATATTTTGGTTTTTTAAAAAAAGATAGGCAAGATGTTTTAGGATTTCCAAGACAAGAGTTTGATGAAATAACTTATGATGAATTGTTGAATGAAATCGGCGTTGGTGTGTATATAATTTGGCAAGATTTAATAAAACGTTATAATTATATAAATATATATATAATATTCAATTATATTATTATAAATAGGAAATACAACAACAATTGATGTAGTATTATTAGCATTGATAACTTTAAACAGAATTGAATCAAGAGCAAGTGATCCTGATCCAACAAAAAGAAAATATAAAGTATTATGAATTTAGATAAATTTAATTTCTCAAGTATCTAATTAGGAAAAAGATTCATGAAGCATCATTATCTCTTTTGGATGTTTAACTTAGTAATGAAATAAATATATATAGAGAGAAATTTAAAATAAAGGAATTTTTTTAGCATTTATCAAATTACTATTACTATAGCTGAAATCTTGATAATCCTTTTTTATAAAACATTCAACAATAAATATAAATATAAAAAGATATTTTTAGCGGAGGTAAAAGCCTAACCCCTTCATTTTCTTGAGAAAACATTTTATTTTTCTCCCAAGCTACCAATCTCCATTTCCATTTCCTGATATTCAAGATGCTATTGACATACTGTATAACTTTCTGTGCAAGCTATTTGGAAAGCAATCATATAGAATAATAATAAAAATAAACGGCAATGACAATAATGATAATAATAATATAATACTTTCAAAACACTACATCTGGTTTGTGCATATTCCCTACGTGGACACTCAACTGTCTTCTTGTGATAGTAGAAGATGATGATACCTCTTGACATTGTCAATTGATCACTGTTGGTAGTATTGACATTTAAACCCATGACGCTATTGTTTTGAGTTGACATTGTAGTTCTTTGTGTATTATCAATATCATCTGTTTCAAAGTATCCAAAACTAAATCATGATGATAAATATGAATTATGGGTTTTTTAGTAGATTATAAGCTTCATTTACATATTCAGGTAAAATCTAGACAAACAAACAAATTATATTATTGCGAGTGATTTAATAATTACAATAATAAATAACAAATAATAAATTATCTCTTGATTACAATGAGCATTGCAATAGCTTCAGATTAAAGAACAATACTTTCCACTAATACAATATGAGTTTTGATTTACACCTGAAACGTCATCAGTTCCAATTCTTTATATTTTTAATAGTAATTCTCCTGCTTCATGTATAATCTGAGGTTAATCCTTGTGCATTTTATATGTCGATGTAGTTGTTTGATGATAAATTATGGATCAATAGCATCATCACCATGTTAATGTGTTCTTATTATTATAATATGATTTACCATCATACCATCCACATTGGGTTTACATTAATCAATTACTAAAAAAAAAACAGATCAAATAAACTTACATTGCTAGAAATATACATATAATTATTATTATGTTGAATTTTTTTTTTGAAAATAATCTCAATGTTAATCTCCTGTTGTATTGACCACCAATTGGATTTGCAGCTGCCAATATTGATGAAATAGTTTGCTGTTCCGTAGCCTCATGAATAGTTACTTGATCAGATATAGTCAAATATATCAATTGCACAATACCCTAAATTGTTTACACAGATTCAATTCATTACTACTAATAAATGTTAACAAAACAGCCAAAATTGATGCACCAGCCTCTATAACAAAATCACCAGATTCTTCATCTTTTATGAAATTTTGACTTTAAAGTTAACTATACGCAATAGTGTTGGTAGTGTGCTCAAGCTGTCTTTGGTACCTGAGTTTGAAGCACACATAAGTTGGTCAATATTGGTATGTAGAACAAGTTTTACATAGTACATATTAGTATGATAAGTTTCGTTGAATTTTTGGCATCATGATGAATAATAAAATTTTTCTTCTTTGATGTTAAGGGTTGTGCAATTTTTATTTTTCACCAGAGTATGTCCAATAATATTATGTGTTACATAATAATAAATAAATAAACGGATTAGTGTTATTCATTTTTTACTTCCCTATTCATTAAAACATCAAGTCAAATTTTAAATCTTATAAATTTATTTACAATGAAATATTATCTTTATTTATCATCACTAAAAAGAAAGGAATTTGTAATTAAAATTTATAATGAAATGTATAATGATGCTAGAGTTAATTCTGGCAAAGAAAGTAAAAATGACTATTTTTTTTCATTACTCAAGAAAAACAAGGAGCTTTCTGAAAATGAAAAAGAACATTGTAAGGAAGAGTTTATTTATCGCTTTGAATTAAAAAATGCAAGAAATAAATTGGGAAAACCAAAAGAATGTAACGAATGTAAATCAACAAGATATTCTGATAGATTCTGTGAAGGTTGCATTAGTTTACAATTACAGAATCTTTTCACTACTTGGACATCTGAGAATGACATAATTGATGATTTTATTCAACAATGCCAAAGGAAATCATCTCTGCCAACTTTTATTTTAGAATGGATACCTTTTGAGCAATTTGTAAAAGTAACAAAGTTAACTGAAGGTGGATTTAGTTCAATTTATACTGCTACATGGACAAGAGGAACTATTAAGGATTATGATGAAAATAAAAAGGAATTTAGTTATATAGGAGAGCAATTTGTGCAAGAAGTAGTATTAAAAAATTTAAATGATTCAGGTAATCCAGGAAAAGGCTTTTTTGATGAGGTTGGTAATTATCATTTAAAACAATACTGTATTATATAATAAATACTAATTGATTTATATTTATTTTTAGGCAATGAATTATTGTAAAATTAATCGAACGGCGACTATTGCTTGCTATGGTATAACTAAATTCCCAGATAGTGGAAATTATGCAATAGTTTTAAATTATAAATCAGAAGGAAATTTAAGGGATTATTTGAAAAAAAAAAATTTGAATTTAACATTAAAAAAAAGAATTAGTATCTTTGAAAGTTTATGTAAAGTATTAAATTGTATACATGAAAAAGATTTAATCCATTGTGATTTACATAGTGGCAATGTGTTAATGCAAAAAGGTCATTGTTATATTACAGATTTAGGGTTACATGGTCCAGTTGATGAAAAACTATCAAATAAAATCTTTGGAATTGTACCATACCTTGCACCTGAGCTATTTAATGGAAATAGGAACACAAAAGAAACAGATGTTTATAGTTTTGGGATGTTAATGTGGGAAATATTTGCAGGTCATCCACCATTTGACAATAGAGCTCACAATCATCATTTAATTTTTGATATATGCGAAGGCTTACGACCACCAATATTACCTGGAATGCCTGGTGATTATGCACAAATGATGCAGAGGTGTTGGGATATGGATCCATTGAAAAGACCAACTAGTGGAGAGCTTTTTAACTTTGCTGATAAGAAATTGAATGAAATTTGTAAAAAAGAAAAAAAAAATTTGAAAAATAGCATAACAAAGAGATTATTCAAATTTTTTAAAATTAAAAGGCTTGATGGTAGCAGCAGTACTAGTGCTTTGCAACAAGTACACAAATTACATCCAGGTGCATACCATACAAGTAGAATATTAGATGAAGAAATTGCTAAATCTAAATCTTGATTTTAACTCCCTTCTCTAAAATATTAACAAAGATGAATAAAAATTTCGTTATTAATTAATTAGAAATTATTATCAATGTTTTTAATTAATTAATTTAGTCTCAACCATAAATTCATTTTTTATAATTATTTATCTTTTTATTTATCCTTTTTTTGTTTCTTAAAGCTAAATTATAATAATATTTTGAAATAATAAACTTTTTTTTTACAGTTTTATGATTCTTGTGAAAATGGTGATATTGCTGATTGTGGTTTAACTTTTGGGCTACTCTTGTTAGTTGATTGCTAACAGCTCACAATAATTTGGTGCTTTTCAATTAACTAGTTTACGAATTACTTTGGTTTTCGTTTATTGCCTGCCTCTTGTGTCTAGACGAATCTGTAAGCGTACACTTAATGGTACCGGACAACTCTAAATAAATAAAATGGCACTTTTACAAATTAAAAGGCTTCTATAAAGTTCCTTTTATTTGCTCGTGATCCTTGTTTACCCTTATCTGCTAATTTTACAAACAATTTAAGCAGCTTGTTTACAGCCTTACGTTTGCGATCACAACACCACTACTAATATTTCCAATTAACTTTTAGACAATGCTTCGCTAGCCGTTACTAATACTCAATAATTGACCAACGTTAGTACTAAACCTTTGCTTACTCAGTTACTCACTAAAACAAATTACTGGTCGTTGTTAACATCGCTAGTTAACCAACGTTAGTCCTAATTTTGCTTACTCACCAAAGCAAAAAACGTGACTTTTATAAAGACATTCCAATTGTTGTTTTTATCAAAGCATTGTAAATAAAGAAAATAAAAACATTGTTTTTAATTTTTATTTTTGGAAAGTTCATTAACGATTTTCAAGGGTAAAACAAAATGTTGATTGTGAATTTACTTTCCTCTACTTTTTCAAGCAAGGTCCCGAAGTTATTCAAGCAAAGACCAGAAGTTGTTCCCATTCATAGTTGTTAATGAAATTTTCATAGCGAAATGAAATTGTTTCATGATATAGAAAATAATAGTTGTGACCTCACAATATATGTATATTAGGTTTGTGAAATTTTAGATCTCCAAGAATTATTATTATTATGTTAAATATATCGGTCCCGTTTACTTCGTCGAAAATTATTTCGTCGACACCCATTTCGTCGGAAGTTTGTTTCGTCGAAAGTTCATTTCGTCGAAAAGTTCATTTTGTCGAAGATTATTTCATCGACAATCACTTCGTCGACAATCATTTCGTTGAAAGTTCATTTTGTCGAAAGTTTGTTTCGTCGAAAGTTCATTTCGTCGGCTTATGTATCGTACTAATGATAAATGAGGTGATGATAGTGATGGCAACAATATCGACATTGAATATT